AGAGAATATGTGTAGCTCAGGGTTGAACTGTGGAGTGAAGTTACCTAGTCGGGTAACGAAACATTTGCAAGAATACAATCAAGCTCAGAGAACCCCAAAGACTCCACACTCTTCTTAGGAAATAGATAAACTAAACACTACAGTTGTATGATCATTTTTTTGTTGTTGTTATATGGTTTTTCTCTTGGCTTTGTGTGGTTCCTTACTTGCTTTTTCATTGTGTTCTAGGGCTTTTCCTTTGGTTCCTAACCATTTGCTCTGTAGAGCCCTTCTTGGCCTACCTCACTGTCTTCTTGAATTTGTTTGCCAGGATTTGTGTTCTTTATTATAATTTTTCTTCATTCAGGAAGACATTTTCTCCCTCACTTGAAACTTCTGTTTAAGGATGTTAATATGCAGCAAGACATGTTTGTGTATATTTTATATACTGTTGGATACATCATCGCTGTCCACCACATTGTTCCCTTTATGGTGCAAAATAGAGGAGGGATCACCTGGTGTCCTGCTGCTGTTATGTACAGAAAAGGGTTACAGCTGGAACAACCAAAGGTCATTCTCTTTGCTATTTACCCACAGGATGGTTTCCAGTCAATCTGGAAAGTTCTGTGCCATTTGATGTTGAGAAATAGATAATGTACATTCTAGCCTGTTCATATTTCTCTCTCTCTCTTTTATCTATTTTTGCCAGTTAACTATTTTTAATGTTTGCTGATACTTAATAAATAAGCATCAAGCTATATTTTTGGCTAGCTGAATGGTATCTGCTTGCTATTTGTATATAGTGATTGACTCAGAGTATGCTGGTGCAAACCCAATAGGAAATTACCCCCAGTAATTTCCCCACACATCTGCCTCTTCTAGAAGATTTTAAATATTCACCAAGCTTCTTGATGAATTAAGTTTTCTTTTGTGTACTTTTAGCTTCTGTTTATTAGATGGAAACTAAAGCTCATTGTCAAGACATAATTTTGCATATTTACAGTACAAAATTCACTCCTTTTCACTCCCCATTTCCAGCTGGGTTTCAGGAGCAGGAGCAGAAATAAGTTAATAATCAACATTTATAATTTATCCAATTGCTTATTTTTTTTCTGAAATTCTCTCTTTGAATTAAGTAAAAGTATTATTAGACTTTCTGGGCAGATTTCCATTCACAAAGATTTTGAATTGGATAGTATATTGGTCACTCTTTCCAAATGGTTTGAGATATCTTATACAGTTATTGCTAAAGGAGCTTATTTTTATGCAACCTAGTAAAACTTAAAATATTCCATAACAAAATGGAGAATAAAAATAATCTCTTGTGACAAGTTTTTCCCCCTGTCTGGTTATCTGCAAAGTGTACGCCCATTGTCAGTTTAACAGGGCACTGCTTGTATAAACATTCTTGTTTCGCCTGTTCCATGTAATAGTTTCTTGTATCGTATTTCTTCTGACCCCGCTATCTGAAACCAATTATAGGAGATCCATTTGGGCTGCATCTATTTTCATAAGAAGCCCAGGCAGCAGAGATGAATATCAACATCAAATATGATTCTGAGTGCTTTGTTATTTATGTTTCAGAGAGATTTTGTAGCCTTCAGCTCTCAAGAATGTGTCATGCTGTGCTGTTTATACATTGAAGATATTAATGACCATAGATGTCATTTTTCATTTTAACATCTCAAATGCAACAGGCTGATAGGTTAAACATTCCTGTTTTTAACAGAACAATATGAATGACATCTGTTTCCGTTTAGAAAAAAAGGAAAGGAAAAAAACATATTTGAAAAGAAGAAAATAATCTGTATACATTAAGTAGAAACTTCACTGAATTGTTTTTAAAAAAACTGTATACTTTATTAGGCATTCCTAAAATAGGTAGAATTGGAGGACGTCAATATGTGTGTGCATATAAAAATGTGCTTGTGTATACAGACATAATTTCAGTATCTCTAGGATTTAATTTTTAAAAATCATACAGATTCATACGATTGACAGATTGACACAGTGTAATCTACATCTTCTCAGAAACAACCTCACTAACATCAGTGGGCATTTTCCCTGATAAGTAGGTCTCAGATCACAGCCTTAGGTGATTCCATTTATTTGTATTTTGTTTCTAACCTTAGTAGGCAATGAAAATGTTAACTCACATATATAAATATATTTTAACAATAATTTGCAAAAACGTACAACCAAAATCTGAGTAATCTTTGATATTCTAAATACCTATGGTTATATCTTTACTTATTTCTGAATTCTTAATAATGAGATTGATTTATCCTATCATAATTTCTGTATCTTTACTCAGTTAAATTACACTATTAAAAATCAGTTAAACTATTTAAAAAAAAAAACTTTTAAAAACTGCTCTGGCTTGTTGCTCATTTAAACAACAGATTCATAACAAATCTGGACAGCAGTTTTTCGTAGTTAGAAACTTGTTTTATAAGATAAAGATATTTCCATACATGTTGGCAGAACTTTAAATTTTGACCCAAGAATTCACACATTAAGCTCCAGCAAAGTCCATGCATCATTCCTAACTAATATAATATCTTAAATACTCCCATGTCAAATAGCGCCCACAACCATTTTTCTTTTTTTAAGAAAATTGTGTATAACTAAGAATATATATACTGAGAAATGGAATGTCAAACATTACAATGGAAAGCCTGTGATACATTTCTGGGGAGTAAGAAGTGGTGTTAGTATCCATTACCCAGTAAAATATACAAGTGGTTACTATTTCTGCAATATCCTGTAACTGAGCAAACATGTAGCATGCAAAAGGTCCTGTGCTGTCTTCAGGTATAGTCTTGACAGAAATCCTGCACTACCACTCACAGTCAACGTAGATAGTAGAAATGTACCATTAGTCTAACTTGCTGCATGACAATTTCCCGTTTATGCATGTGCCATAGTGTCCCATTTTCGTTTTTTATGAGCCTTATTATGCTTTATAATGGGTGGAAATTATCTTTCTTCAAGATGATGGTATACAGGAGTGTGAACTCCGTCTCCAATAAAAGTATCTGACTTTTCACAAGGGCAGTTCATACCCTGGTGTTCTCATGTAGTGATTTCTATAGATATGTGCTTTATATTTTCTAAAGATTCGTGTTTTTGAGGAAATTTGAGGAGAAATGTGCAATTTGTAAATAGCCTACAGACAAACTAGTACTGCTAGATAGGTTCCCTGAAAATCCAGTTTGGGAATACATATTTTTATTATTCCTTTCTAGAACAAATGCCCACACCTTCCCATGTCAGTTTTAATCATGATGTGGAATTTCATATGCATCATCAGCAACATTAATTTTGCCATATATCGTAAACATATTCTTTGGACTATATTAGCAAATTTTGATTCTGAGAAACCAGACTAAGTTACATCTGCAAATTATAAATACACCAATGCCAACATAATTTCAACATAATTCAATTTAATAAAGGATTGCTAATACAACTCAGAAGGTGACTTGGTTCTGTATAGGCTCAGACATCAAAGGGAGCTGTCTACTTTTTCCTTCCCTCATGTTGTCAGCAGAATACTCTCCAGGAAATGAATGGTGTTTAGATTTAAGCAAAAGTAGGTGCAACATATAGAATTTAAAAAGTTATGACTTTTTATTTCACTCGTCCCTGCTTATCTGTAATTACCTGGGAATCATAAAAACCCCAGGATTTTGTGGAAATGTTTGTGCCTGTACTGGAAGGAGGTGTGTTCTTCAGACTGGTATTAATGCCTTTTACAAGGAGACAAATCTTTGTTCTTAGGAGCTGGTGATAGAGCATGTAGCTTGTTTACTTTGGTTTGTTGTGTCTGCCTGCTTTTTCAGAAAACCTGGATGGAGCCAGACTGTAGCAGCCCTCTCTCTGTCTTTTCATAATTGATCAGGGGATGACTGCTTTCCCTGAGGGTTAAGACGTGGCAACTTTTTCTGTTTGCTCAGCATCTCAATGCAGTAGTTCAAACATTGTTCACACCAGCTGGCAGTGTAATGCCATATGCACATCTTGTCAAAGCAACTGTTGTCATGGATACTGGAAACTACCTTAAAAACCATCTCATTTGCGTCTAATCATAACTACCTTTCTTTATCAGTTTGGTGACAATTTTTAGAGTGAATACAATCCCAGTAATAATATCCCTGTATTGTGAATTGCTCTCTCAGTGTCCCAGTACTTTGTGGAAAAAGCTTAATATTTTATACCTTAATATTCTGGAATTTTAAAGTTGTAACCACTACATTTGCTTAAAGTTAATACTTTTTCTAGTAACTGCCATAGCTCCATATAGTTCTCTGTTCAAGTTTTACTTTACTTAATTCAAATGAACAGATTTAAATACTGTATTTTGATTGCAATGCTATCACCTACAGAAGCTAATCTGATTGGCTAAGTAGTGATTTCTTTGTTCTCAGAGTTTACTAAGTATGCAAATGAAAGCCACTTAATTTTATTTGGCATTAAAACTCCACTTTATTTTGTCAAATGAGAGATTTCTCTTTGAATTGTAAGTATAAAAAACGGTTTTTAATCTTCAGTGAATATCCTTATTAATTCACTTTCAAGATAATCTGATGTTGATTCGTCAAATTTAATTACAGCTTCCGGTAACACTTGAAGTCTACTGCTTTTGCTTAAAATTGTAATGTGAAAATGCAAATTGAATGATGATTTACAAGGGTGTGAGCATTTTAGCTGAACACTTAAAGACAAGTTCCTTGTGGAGATGAGGCTATTGATGCGGTTTATGATTTTTCCTCTTCAAGCACTTTATACAAATTAATGCTATTTCCTTGAGGATTTGTTGCACATATATACTTTTTTCTCAAAATCTGGTATACATACTATCTGTGGATTTTTCTTGCTGTATTTAAAGAGTAGGAGTTTTTGATTTACACAGGAGAAGGCAATTTTGCTTGAAAATTAGAATTAGGTAAGTTCCAACTAAAACATTTTCAACAAAATGCTTTAACTTTTATTTATTTCTATTTTGTCTTAACTTTCAGGCATTGCAGGCAGCCAGGCAGCTGCTTTTACAGCAACAGACAAGTGGGCTGAAATCTCCTAAAAACACTGATAAACAGAGACCACTACAGGTTAGTAAAGCAACTTTACATCTTAAGCATGATTTCTAAAGAAGAGCACTCATGCACACCTAAATGTGTCTATACAACTATAACTTTCTGCTTATGTACAAAATGCTTTGTCTTATATATTGGTAATGTAATTAATTAAGAAAGATCACTATATAACAGCAAGTATCCCTTTTAAATTACTTTGTAGTAGGTTAAAAGGTTGCACAGATGTAACAGAACAATCTTCAGTCTACTATGCCAACAGCCTTTCTACAGATACTGTATCTGGATAAGTTGTGCACATTGTTATCGTAAAATAAACTGATAAATTTATAATGATGAAATAGATAATGATCCAGATATGCAAAGAGCAAGCCTTTTTGCTATTCTGCATCTTATTGCATGGGTTGTATATTTAGGATCTCTCCCTTTCCTCTTCCCAAATATTGTGCTAAAAATCTGAAAAGGATTTTTTATCGCACCTTTATTCATAAGCTTTATAAATTATTAAACACTTGTAATATTTAAAAGAAGTGAATGTACAGTTCATACATCTAAAATCTAAGAATGAATCTTGTATTAATGCTTAATATTTACTTTTTAATGCTTATTAAAAAAATGAAAATAGGCATTGCTAACAAGAGCTACTTCTAACTTGTTTAATTTGGAACAGATTTATTTATTTATTTATTTGTTTGTTTGTTTATTTGTTTGTTTATTTAATAGACTTGTCCCCGCCCATCTCCCCACAATTTGATATTTCACTGTTGATATTTCTTAAGATGTGCATATATGTACTTTTGGGAATAAAAGTAATGGTGCTCTTCCCTGCACAATGACCCATAATTCTTTCTAGGTTTTTTTGGAAAGAAGCACAAGATTTTTGTTGCAATAACACTTCTTTGAGTGAATACTACTTTTATTTTCTTTAAATCAATGACTGCTTGAAATACTACAAATTCTACATATGCTGCTCCAAAGTGGTACCATGACATTTGAAATGTTTGGACACCCCCCCAATTCCCCTTTGGCAGCTCTAATTGGGAAGTTAATTTTTCTATGCCCAAGTCCTAAATACCAGTTGCTTGAGAGGGTAAATGTATGGGGAGCTTTATGCAATTTGGATGCTATTTCATGGAGAGTTGCTAAATGTTTATCCTATCCTTATGACATGATCGTCATGATATGATCTTGATATTGTGAAAAGTGATTTTGTAGGTCCAAAATGGGAAACAAAATATACTTTTTACTAAGGGAGATCAAGTGTTTTCTAAGTATATTGGAGGAGTTAGGAATGAAATTAGCATGTCTGGTAGGGTTGAATCCCACGTAGAAGTCCTCCAAAAAATCATTTTTGCAACCATTGTGTTTTCCTAAGACAATTATTTCTCTTGGGTTCAGCACCATTTATCTTCTTGCCTCATGAATTAATCACAAGGATGATCTTACCCAATCATGCAATGAGTAGGATTTTGTCAAAATGCTGCTCAGAGACATTTGGTTACTTAATACTGCCAGTGAAATTAAGTAACAGCTAAGTGAATATTTTTTTTCAAGGAATACTGAACATGTTGTGAAACGTAACTGTAATATTCCAAATTAGTGTATAATAGTTCTGAGCTATAATTAGGATTTAGGGCCCTAAGGTAGCAGTTCAAACATATGCTATGAAAAGTACCACGTAACTTCAGTGGATCCATACATGCATTTGTGGAAGCTCCATTGCTGATTATCTTGGGTCATTCACAGATCACTGTGTTGCTCTATGGACCTCTGAACTCTATCCAACGGAGATGGTAGCCTTGCTGTTGTTTCACGGTGAAAGATGTGAGTAAAGAGCCCCTGATTTTGCCAGTGTTGCATTTGCAATACTCAGTAAAATGTAGAATCTGTAGTGGCCCCTTACTTCAACCTCTCATTTTCTTTTGAACAAATAAGAGGTTAAAATGAATTTGAAAGTTGTTATCCCAGGATAACAGACTGTTTAAGAAAGACCTAAGGGGATGAGAAAAGAAAAGCTTCTGTTCAGACATAAGAGAAAAAAGATAGTTATAATGGCTAGAAAAAGTAATTGAACCATGGGCTCACATGCTTTTTCCTACCCCACCCCCCACAATTCTGATGCAGCCTTGAAGAATGCTTATTCATTTTCACTTCCATGATGAATTGCAACCTACCATATCATCCAGATCCAACAACCTTAGTTGATCTTTACTAAGTTTGACATAAGCCAATTTAAAACCATGGGTTATAAAGTCGGCTTGTTTCAACAAAGAACAATGGAGGATTTTGATGTAATTCCAAACTCTTTAATGAAAAAGAGAAGCAGGAACTTCTGGTACCTCTTTATGGCTGCACTGAAGCAAAAGAGTGCATATCTGCCCACAGCTCTTTACCATCATGATAGACTGTGGTTTATCTCAGTGTCTCTCTGCAGGTAATTAGGGGTGGGTAAGGAATGGCTTTTTAGTGGCTTGATTAATTGAAACTATCAATTACATAAATAATTTGTAATTAATGGATAAATAATATAAAGAAATGCTTTGTTGGATATTTATATGCTGAAATTACATTCTTAAAATTTTAAGTAGCCATTCAAATCCATTCATAGCTCATGTGAAAAGATTGTTTCAAGAAAATCGAGACATTTTACAGAATCACAGTCCTGAAGAAATGAAATTGATCATTGCAAATCCTGATCTGATTCCTTCTGCTATAGGGTAATTTCAAATACAATATGAATGTCTGTTTTTTGAAACTGAACAATTTTGTTTATTGTAATTTTAGCTAGAATTCCTGTTTATAAGTTTCATATATTGCTCTTTAAATATGTTCTTTTTACTCTCAAGTAAAATTTAGTAGATTTTTTAATTCTAAACGTTAGAGGGCAAATCTAATAAGTCCTTGGTGTTTCAGTATTTCTGACATTATCTGCCTATGGAAAGCCAAGCATTGTTCATCATGCAGATGAGATTTATCTCTACTATTCTGTAATGTAGCTAAATCAATGGATCGCTAAAAAATAGTATTCAATTTTTAATGCCAGGTTTAATATTATTTTCTGATAGTTTCATTAAAATAACTTTGCATATAAACTAAACATTTAAAATTCAGACATAGTATAAGAAGTATAATCTTATGTTGCAGTCACACTGTAGCCCCTAGAGTGTAGGTAGATTGCACAATTAAGCATTACAAAGTAAACACCATGCATTTATTGAGATGTATTCAGTTTTAGGATCGATCTGCCTGTTGTGAAGTAAACTGACAGTCCAGTCATCTAGATTTCTACTTGAACATGTTGGACTGAAGTCAGTGAGGCTTACTACCTAAGTAAGGGGATAAATTGTAACCTAAAAGGACCAGTATCATCCATCAAAATCTTAAAAGATATCATATGTGTTTTTTAATTTTTTCTGTTTGGCAGAAATTGAATGATCTGGCAAACTGCTTTATAACTCTAATAAAGGTTCTAATAAAACTTTATACCTACCTCACACATCAGCAAACAAATGGGGAATATGAAGTATTATTTGCCATTGCATCATTCATCATTCATTCATTCATTCATTCATTCATTCATTCATTCATAGATAGATAGATAGATAGATAGATAGATAGATAGATAGATAGACACACACATACATACACATGCACACACCATATTTTAATGTAGAAATTGATCTGATAGAGTATTTTGCATTTGTGGTTCAGTTTCATGCATACTTTAATTTGTAGCACATAATGGGCTTTGGTTACACTGGAAATCCACCACATCCAAAAAAAAAATGTGCAAGAAATACTCTGGCTAACCTATATAAGAGTAGTGCATCCATGCAAGGACATTTTTCTGTGTGCTATACCCACAACTATTAAATATTTTACAAAAATCATTTGTATTGGAATATACCCTTCCAAGACAGCTTGTTTAACCCTAACCGTCATGAAAATTCATTTAACTGTAGTGCCACGTGTTGTATACGACATAAAATTAGGAAAGGCACCAAAACTTTAATTTTAAAAGAATATTTTCTTTCACTACAGACGTTTCACAATATTAAATCATGGCTCCCATTTGGACACTGCATTCTATGTTTGTGAAATAATAGTCATAGCTAAACGAGAATGCATATCCTTTTGTAAAACACTTATGACATTCTTGGAAGAGCTGAAATACCGTTTCTTGGATAAAGCGGGGTTTATACCTTAAAATGAAGCTTTGAAAAGCTATTAATCAGTTCACAGTCCAGAGCTCTAGATGTGCATAATCTGTGGATGCACTTTATTTAAAATTCTATTTCTGAGCACTTACTCCCTTTAAACTCTTCAGATGTTAAAGGCAATTGTTAATTAACCATGATAACCTGAACAAGAAGCTGCATATATGTAGTTAAAAACTACATACAAATGTGATTGGATGCTGCCCAACTCCAAACAATTCTGAATGGCTGATAATACACTAAAACAATATAAAAACAATATAACAAAAACAAATAACACTGCAGTATAACACAATGTAATGTGCAGCATTATAGCATAAGAGAGAGAGTTTATGTGTGTGTTTGAATGACTTTCTATGTTTTTAGAGGATTTTTTGCACACAAGAGATAATAGACAACTCAGGTACTCTATGGAAAAGCTCCTGGAAGAACTAATATTCAGTAAATGCGCAAATGCTGTGGGTGTAATGGGCCTCCTGTGCAAATCATATGATGAGATACACATGCTTGTTAAGATGAGATTGGAAGAAATACTTATGTAAAGCCTTCTAGTATAGGTAACTATATTGCAGATTTGAGGGCATTTCACATGAAGTGTTGTGTCAAATAATTTGCATAGGCCTAGCATATTCACAGCCACTACTGAATGCTCTTGCATTTGGGGGTACTAATCTTTAGAATATTTCTCTTGACCGTTTTCTTAAAATCTTGCCAGTGGATTAAGATAGCAATAAACAATAAATACTGTGGCTCAGTAATACTTGCTTTGCATAGAGAACCAGGTTAAGTTCTTGTAGGAAA